GTAATATTGTTCAATTCACCAATAGAACATTTGTTATTTATATTGTTCCGTTTATTATAATTCCTTCACTTTCAAGACTTATTTTCATTATCTAATGCATATTATTGTTTGTCATCTTTTCATGTTTGTTCTTTGTAGGTGGATAAATTTTTTGTTTCTATAATTCTTTTATCTTATTAGTGATTGTATTTTCAATTAATTATTTATTTACCTTATAATTATTGCTTAATACTATAAGTTTTGTATCTTTTTCATATGAGCAATTGTCTTATAAAGTATGAGCAAATGAATGCTATCTATAATGGAAAAGAAGCTTTTGGTGAGAGGCAAGGGCATGGTGCTTATTCATATACTTACAACCTTTCATGGAGAGCACCTTAATTTTTCCTACTCAAACCTAAATGTGGCTTTGCAAGACAACCAACCATGAGGACCATTCCAAAACTCCTGTGGCCATGAGTTTCAAGGAAATTCTTCATGCAATTACCATCAAAGCACTTGAGGCTGAGATCCTTCATATACTTTGTCCCAAGGTAGTTCTTCCCAAAACTACAATCCCAATGGTAATTCTCTTGTACATTTTTCTTCTTCTTATGGTGATAGAAGACTTGTACCAATTGAGAATTCGTCTAACTTTATTTCTTCTAATGATGTGAATGTGTTACGTAAGCAATTGATTAAGATATATACCTTGTACAAGAACATGTATGATGGCTTAGGAAATAAGGTAGAAAATATGAGTAATAAGTGTGAGAATATGAATTGATGCTCTTCCTTCTCAAATGAACATGCTTACTAACCAATTGAGTACAGCCAATGCTCAAGATCCTACATGGTTGCTAATCTAACATCATTGCTATTCTTAAAGCTAATCTTAATACTATTATCCTTTTAAGAATTACTCTTTGTTATGTGTGAGTTCTATTGAGTTGTTGCTTCATGATGCTTCTGAATCTCACATGATTGATTCTTTCCCACATGTTGATGATTTGTCTCTTGTCACTATTTTATGCATTGATGGATGTGATTGTTCTATTTGTTTAGATATTGATGCATGTTTGAATGATGTACTACTCATTCTCATTATTTGTTTAATAAATTTGAAATGTCTCCTGTGCTTGATCTTGAAATGCTTGAGAAGGGTATATATTTTTGTGTTGTAGGCACTAATGTTATAAAGGCTAAATCTATGAGTTTTTCTCTACTCTAGCTTGATGTTCCTAGGATTCCTAAGCTATTAGAGGAAAATTTTGCACTTCCACATGTTAAGGTCATGGCTAAAGATGCACTTGAGGACAAGTTGCAAAAGGGAGGGGAGTCTGTGAAGATTAAAGAAAGACCAATTAATGGAGTTGAGCTTGAAAAAAAGGAAAAAAAAATTAAAAGTAAATGAGGAGCTTAAATTTAAAGAGGGGGCCATAGGCTGTTCAACTAAGTTGGACTTAAAGAAACTTATTCCCTCTTGTGTGGAGCCCCAACTTTGGAATTGAAGTCCGTACCATCCAATCTCAAGTATGCATATCTCTTTAAGAATGAGAAGCTTCTGGTAATAATTTCTAACTCTTTATCTTTTAAGAAGAAGAAAATGCATTGCTTGATGTTTTGAGAAAGAACATGCATGCTTTGGGTGGACTTTAGCTGACATTCTTGGAATTGACTCTTTTATGTGCACTCATAAAATTTTTCTAGAAGACAATGCTAACCTTATTAGGCAACCTCAAAGGAGACTTAACTCATTGATCTTAAATGTTGTAAAAAAGAAGTGGCAAGTTGCTTAGTGCTGGGATCATATATCCTATAGTAGAGTGAGTGGGTATCTCTACCCAATGTTGTGCCTAAAAAGGGAGGGATTATTGTGGTGAAAATGAAAAAGGAGAGCTTGTCCCTACTAAAGTTCAAAATGCTTGGAGAGTGTGCATAGATTATAGGAAGCTTAATAACATAACTAGGAAAGACCATTTTTCTTTGCCTTTTATTGATCAAATGCTTGAAAGGTTGGCTTCTAAGTCCCGTTATTGCTTCTTAGATGGTTTCAGTGGCTATTTCTAGATTCCCGTAGCTCCTTATGATCAAGACAAGACCACCTTTATATGCCTCTTTGGTACTTTTAGGAGGATGCCTTTGATCTTTGTAATATGCATGGAACTTTTCAAAGATGCAAGATGATGTGTATCTTTTGTGATTTCATTAAAAATTGCATGGAAATCTTTATCGATGATTTCATAGTGTATAATGAGTCTCGTGAGTCATGCTTGCATTCTTTGGATAAAGTGTTTGGTAGGTTTATTTAAAAGAAGCTTGTACTTAACATTAAAAAATGCCATTTCACGATAGATAAGGTCAAAGTTAATGTGATTGTTATTGTATACGAAGGCCTAATGAAAGATTAAAATTTTAAAATTCCTATCCCGATGTGGACCAAACAAATTTATTTAAATCAAGGTAGATAGAAAAAACACCTTTTAAATGTCAAACTTTTATCCTTCCTTTAAATGTTTAGATCTAAGAGTTGATAATGAGATCAACTCCTTCTATCAGTATCCACACGAACAAATCACTAACTTAAATGGCATGCTAGAGCTCGAATCGTCCATCCGTTTTCTTAAACATCAAACGTCAATTTTCTCTAGGGGGTTTCCATGGCTCTCACTGTGTTTTGCCATCAAGACTTTTTTGACTCTTACTTTATTAGTCTTTCACATCCCCTTATTCTATAATATATATATAGATTAGGGTTTTTAGACTTCCTCTTATGAGCCAACAGAAAAATTAGATTAAATTTATTTCAAAGAAAATCTATGATATCATATCTAATTTGAATTTATAAGATAGTTACATGTTAGTTATTAAATTTAATTTATCATATAAAACTAAATTTAAAACTAACATTATAATATAATATATATATATATATATTAGATAAACATATTATACTACATATGTATATATATATGCATGAATATACATATATCTATATATATATATATTTTCAAAATATATACATATACTATATTATATATTTTTAATTTTATATATCATACACATACACATGAATATATATATTTCAAATATGTATACATAATTGTATTTTGAATTTTATATTTCATATAAATATATATATATAAATATTTATCAAAAATGTTCAAATATATGTTCATTCATTCACCCTAGATAAAGCATTACATTCATTAAATCTAGACACATTTCAAATTCAATGAACTTAGATATCATAGCTCGAGTTGGGCTCTTGTGTGCGACGCTATATGCCCATATGAAGTTGGAAGTAAGCTAATTACGCTACTAGTCTTTAGAAAGATATTGCGACTATCTAATTCATATGGAGATTGATGATCCAATGTAATCTATCATATAACCGTATCACATCCCTTTTGGCACGTGATATTCCGGTCAAGTGTGAGACATGAAATTGTCATTCTCCTTTATCTGACCATTACTTTCTCAATTTTTGAGTAGATTGACTATGGCAATGGAAAAATCCTTTCTATTATAGTATGGCCATATATTTTCTCAGTCTTACTCATCAAGGGACTCAGTAATATCTCTCAATAATGTGAGGGATAAATTTCACCTTAACCACTCATATTCCTCTGCATGAATATTACGAAACTCAATCATAACCTTTATGACCCAATTAAAGTTTACTTTTAACTAGGTCAAAGTTCAATAGTTATCATGTAGGAATCTATGATAATCTCAAGTCAAAGGGCTTAGTGATATGGTTACATATAAGATAAGCTTATGACTTGTACCATGTAGATTTATTATAACTAGTGTTTCACGGGTCCTCTTATAAGAATTATAATAATTTTTAATTCAACTTGTATTACTAAATGAGTTATTTAAATAAAGTTATAATAAGAAATATATTTTAAAATAATTAAAATATATGATGGTATTGCAATAATAAAAAAATTGCAATATAAATGAATTCAAAATGTGATGAATCAAGATTCAAATTCCTATTGAGAGAAGTGACTATATTTAGTTTTTGACCATACTTAAAACTGGAATTACATCAGTACTCAATCAACACATATACACATGCATTTATTTAAATATACATATAGAAAACATTTTCTAAATATAATAGATGTGAGTGTACTATAAAAGATATAGGCATGAAATCATAACATACACAAATGAAATACATCTAATATAATATGCAATATATCTAACAGGAATGAATGTTCAACAATTCATTTAAACATGAGGTAATTTTATATATATATATATATATATAGGAGGGAGGTAAATGAAGGTGTGCTTTTTTTATCAATGAGTTGTTCAATCATAGAAAATAAAATCCATGTAATACCTGAACACAGCTCTAGCCATAAATACCAGCAAAACTTAGTAAAATATTCCTGAAACAAATGATGAAATTTTATGTGGATGTTAAATATAAGGAAGAATATGAATAAAAGAACATAATTGGCAAGTTAATTTTGAATATTTGAAAAGGAACAATTAGCAAATATAAGAAAACGTAATATAAAATAATTATATATAAAGTTTTATGATATATTATTTAACAATGAGTCACTAACAGATGATAGATAAGAGGCAAGGTTTAATTCGAGCATGTACCTTATATGTGAATCTATGTCAAACCATTAAAGATTTCTTTATAAGCAACATTGTTGGTTTTGTTTGTTGGTTTACCCTCTTCATTTAGAATTAAAATCTTCAAGCCACATCTGCTACGAACTCGAGATATAGCAACGTACAACTGACCATGTGTAAATACAGGTCGTGGGAGGTACAATCCAACATTTGTGAGACTCTGTCCTTGGCTCTTATTAATCGTCATTGCAAAGGACAACATAATAGGGAATTGGCGTCTGCATATTGTGAAAGGTAAACTTGTATTTGATGGATGGTGTAATAGTCATTCGAGGAATTAAAACTTTTTGACCTTTTGAGATTCCTATCATGATCTCAGCTTCAATGACATGTCTGAAAAGTTTACTGACAATTAATCAAGTGTCGTTACAAAGACCAATAGATTTGTTGATATTTCGCATAAGCATAATAGGAGCCCCTACTTTAAGCTTGATTTCATGGTTAGGTAGTCCTGACATTGTTAATGAATTCAAGAATTCTGGCGAGTGAATATCTTGTAAAGCACCTCCTATTTCATCTTGTTTGGAAACCGTGTCTGCGCTTAAGTAGCAAACTTCATCACCTGGGAGCATGGATAAAACATATTCATTGACTTCATCAACAACTGCTAATGTTAGAGCTAAGATAGCACGCTCCTGGAAATAACATGCACTATGTATATTCTGTAGCAGTTCTGGATAAGTGGAATCAACAATACACCTAAGAGGATCTTGAGTAGGGTTTAACAATAACTCATCTGGAATTGTAATTTCTTCTGCTTCTTTATGGTTGTCGTCAACTTTTCCATCACCAATTGAGATAATCCAGTTTGCAAATTCTTGAACTCTCATTGCATCTTTAGATGTTGCATTGGTCAATAGTCTCATATTTTTAGTCAATGTAAAAACATTACAATCTTTCCATAAGTATGAAGAAGTGATTGCAACAAATACAATATCCTCTCTACTACCTTTCACACAACTAGAAGAATTTGTCGAAAGTCACCACCAAGCAAAATAACTTTGCCACCAAAGGGCCTTAACGCAGCATCTACTTGTTGAACTTTCATGATATCTCTCAGAGACTTATCAAGAGCCTCAAAACAAAATTTATTGGCCATGGGTGCTTCATCCCATATTATTAGGGAAGTGTTGATAAGCAGTTCACTAAGATGACTACCATGTTTTATATTACAAATTGAACCTTCATTAACTGCAATTGGAATGCGAAATTGAGAATGAGCAATTTTACCTCCTGGCAATAATAATGAGGCAATACCACTTGAAGCTACGTTCAAAACAATCTTTCCCTCAGAACGTAAGGAGGTGCTCAATGTATTCCATATATATGTTTTTCCAGTTCCACCATGGCCATAAACAAAGTACATGCCACCATTATTACTTTTGACTGTAGATAACACTTGGTCATATATTTTCTTCTGTTCAGGAGTCAAATTGTTCAACAAACAAATTAATTTTGATGATAATAATTTTTTGTCATAGCTCAACTCCATACGCATAAGTTTGTTGCTCCTTAATTCCATAACAGATGACTGTGGCAAAGGCATAGAACCAAACTCAGATAATGTCCTTGCATTTACATTCAAGAGCTTCTCAATCTCAAGCAAGGTTAAATTTTGCAACTCATCATCAGATAACTGAAAACCTAATGGACTTAAATAGTTAGAAGTGTGTAAAATGTTGTATTTTTAATAGCATTTCATGAAGTAAAATTAAAGACAAAGAAATATGAATTGTAATGATAAGATGCAGGTAATAATATGTACACATTTACCTTGGTGTCCTGTTATTTGTCTCTATTGATACAATATGTCATCAGACAATGGTTTCCAAATTTGTCTCCATATAAACTCTGGACGTGATAAACAGTTACAGGCTAATAAGGTCGAAAACAACCATCTCAATAGTTGGCTGAGGCCCATTGAGCTGCTTCAAGTATCCCATCAATATACTCTTTATCATCTTCTAACAATCCTAAAGCATAACATGCATCTCTGAATGAATTATGGTAGATAGCATTCACTGTACGAAGGGATTTGTAAGAGGTTAGGCCTTTAATGTTTGCAAGAAGCATGCGCAAGTAGTATGACTCACCACTGCCTGGTGGTGTGTAATACATCCTTCCGATGGAAAATCCTTTTTTTCTTGGTGTCCATTCACAAGTATCTTTGTGATATGTAAATTTCATAGGGAACTCTGAGTAAGTTAAACCTTTGGCATTTTATATTTAGCATTAGCAATGAACCAAGCTTCAAACATAGTCGGTTTCCCATTATTTCTAGACATAACATGTTGAAGATCTTCATTCTCCTCAAATACCACCATTTGATGATTAGGCAAGTGAAATGATAGTCTTTCAACAGAGGGATTTCTATAATTAATATCAAACCCTAAGATCCTCCAAACTGATTCACATGACAAAACATATCGACAATCAAAAAACATTTTGATCTCATCACGAACCAAACCCTCACTTACATCATCTGCTTGAGTATAGAATGCAGCAGTAACTCGATCATAACCTTTATTAACATATTTAAAAAGATACTTAATGGAGTCTCCTTGATTACATCTTTCAACATTAATGTGAGCTCCATATTTTATAAAAGAGTTGTGTTATAGGGGATAACATATCTGTTATCCAATGGGATCCCATTCTTCATGACATGTACACCATTATCTTCCCTTTTATACCTTGGATATCCATCTTCATGGATCACTGTTGTAGAGTTAAAGTTTTTTGGGAATTGCTTAGTACATATTCCTTTGTCCATACATGGAGAATGAGGATTAGCTATTCCACATGGCCCATGTAACATATAATTCACCACTACATCATGTAACTCAGGTTGTGCTTCTTTATCAGGGATTTTGTTGAAATGATGTTGTCAATATCTTTAGCAGTAGATAACTTATCTTTATTTGCAAGGAAAACCAAAATATGAGCATGGGGAAGACCTCGCTTTTGAAATTCAATTGTATATAGAACTGTAACATAAAAACATGAAAACAAATATTAGAAAGAAATGGAAATAAACCATGCATATTACAAATGCATATGTAAACTAAATAAGAGTATTAAAAGGAGCCTATTAATGTATTTTGAGTAATACCTGCTTTGACACTTCCAAAAATTTCCTCTTTTCTAATATCTTTGATAAGCAAGTCTAGCTTCATTTTAAATATATGTGTGACAATGTCAGGACGATCTTCTATACGAAGTTGACGAGCTTCCAAAAATCTAGTCATTTCAGGCCATTTTGGATTAGCTGTAAAAGTTATGAACAAATCTGGAAACCCAGCCCATCTACAAATAGCCATTGCATCTTGGTAGTTTTGCATTGTATAACGGGCACCACCAGTGAAAGAAGATGGAAGGATTACTCGTTTCCCTACAAATAAAGCCTGAGTATCACCTCTAAAAACTGCATCTGCTAAACCATTATAAACCTCTGCTCGTAGTTTTTTTTTGTTCATCCTGATATATCTCAATCTATATGACTCAATCATGGTATATGCATAACCAAATATTGTTGATATAATTTGGCCATATAAAAGTAGTGATCCATCTAATGCTCGATCTTGGATATTGTAAGCAAAATATTCCCGAAGTGACACAGTTCCACTCTCACCTTTCATCTTTCGTTGCGTCTTCTTATGTGGAATACCTTCAGTATAGCCTCCATCTCCATATGGAAATAATAGAGGGTATTGCATTGGCAAATATGATTGGTGTGTCTCAAAATTCGCTCAAGCAAACCACTTCTATATTGAATAATAATATCTCTTCCAAGTTCAGTTGATCCAATGTCTCCCACAACCAAGGCTGCTATTTCGTTAGGTGATGTTGGCAAATTATATGTATGAGCATTTTTACCACCCTTATGAATGAGTCGAATCTTAACTTCCTGACCTTGATGATTCCCCATAAAATCTCGAGCAAGTCTATAAGTTTTAACTAATTCATTGTGATTGTCCAATATTTTTTGCAATTATTGGACAATAGAAGGCCGCAAAGATTTTTTTGTGTCTTGGCCACTATATTACAAAAGACAAAAAAATTAGAATCAAAATTTGGTTATATATAGTTATAAAAGCAATCAAAACTGAAAAGTGTAGAACAAAAGTACCTTACAGCAGCTATCCTATTTGTTGTCTCGTTGGAAGTGTCATGTATATATAACTGAGAAAATTTAGGGGGTGCTCCTTCAACAGGTAAAACACTACCTATCATATGCATGTTTTGGCCATTAATACAATACACATAAGGACCACGACCATTGTTTACTCGTTTATCAACTTTTCCGCCCATGGACGTGAATGCAAACATCATGTTGTATGCTCTAATATTATCAAGAAAATTCTTACTATCATCATCTATGGAGTGAAATAGCCTCTGTAGTTGCCAAGGAGCATGCTTTGGGTTAGGCAAGTCAACCTTCCCTTGAAGACAACATAATCCAAACTTTGGATGAAGGTTAGAACAATTTTTTTCAAGTCGTTCATTTATCCACATAATAGCTCCACAGTGAACACATGGATATGCTTGGTCGCCTAAATCAATAGGAGCTGAAAAATTAAAGTAATAAAATAAATTATGTCTATATTAAACTTTGATTGTATGGACATTATCAAATGTTTATAGATTGTCTGTCAAAAAAAATAGACAATTAACATGCTCTAACATTATTTGTCACGTAATAATCAACTAACTTCCATTGTCCATGAAAGAAAATTTAATTGCAAAGTTTGTGTACTCAATGATCTATTAATATTAGCTCATTGCATAAAAATTAACTTGATGAGAATCCCATCTCATGAATGAACCTCCAGAATATATAGTATTTATTGAAAACATTTAACAAAATTGATGTGTACCAAATACCAACTATTAAAGCTTGTACTCAAACACTTACAACTAACAGGGGGTTCAACTCCAAATTGTCTGTGGGTGTTGGATGTAGAGCATGTATGTTGAAGCACTGTAATTCATCCAGATACATTAGTAGGGATGAATAGATATATAACATTAAAATTTTATTCAAAATAAACATCTCAATCATATTTAACTAAGGTAATGTAACCCAATTGTTGAACCATCAAAAGTCAAATAAAGTACAATGCACATTTTAATTCTTTACAAATTTTCACATTATTGGAGCATGAAATGTTATGCAATGTGAATTTTCTATAGTTTCGAGGTTAATTATAAATACCAACTTGTTATAAGAAACCTACCATTAGTGACATCGTATAAGGGAACTTTATGGGAGTGGCTAAAACGCTCGCGGAGGTTTTCCCTTGTTGATTGGTTGCACTGAATCTTACATCAAAGAAGATGAAGAGGAAGAAGTATAAATACAAATGTGCAAGATATTCACATTTCAAATAAATTAGTTGAAAGCATATGATGGAGCAAGGATATAATACAAAAGGATTTGAAAGGAAGTTTTAAGCCAAAGGCCTCACTTGTTATGCCATTCCTAGCAATAAATGTCCTTGTTGTTTGCTTTCTTTTTTCTCTCAAGATAGAAACCCGTTGTTGTCTCGCAATTTTAGATGATGTGATATTTTCTGAGGTGAAGAAAGATTAAAATGGAAAAGTTAGTCATACCCAGCAATTAAATTCAAAAATTCAAACATTAAAATTAAAACAAATGATAAATTAATATTTTAGTCTCAATGTTTTTCTTTTTTCAGTATTTAAAGATAAAATTGTCGAGTGAATATTCAATGATCTAATTGAAAAATTAATGTGAAATTTGTCACAAAAATCAAAATTCTAAAAGGAGCATTGCCTAAAAAAGGCGGGATTGTTCAAAAAGATATAT